TTACAAAAGAAGACCCAGCTCATCGGTTGGTTGTGGTTTGGCTCTGCCATTTGCTTTGTTGTTTGGATCGTAGCGGAAATCACATCAGTGACCAAACAGGGAAATTAATGCTTTCATTTCCTAGATGTTGATGATCTACAGGACTGGAAGGCTCTCTCCAAAACAAGAAAAAAAAGTCTTAAGAGCAAACTTTGCTGTATTTCCAACCTGCAATTTGTTTCTTTGAGCTCCACACATCAACCCCGAGCCAGAGCGTGTGTTCCAAACCACGTTCGACTGTCCAGCCGCTGTGCACCAGGGCGGAAAGATCTGAGCTTTTGCCTGTGTGATTTCGCATCAATTCTCCTGAACGAGTGTCAACAGCACTTATTGCATCAGCCGGTTTTTGAGGGCCCACTTCGAAGTGCAGCTCTCCATTACAGTTGCTCCTGTCTTAGTACTGACGAGTGATGTCATTTTGAAATGGAAATCGAGATAAAGACACACTTTATGCTCCCCTGTGGACTGTGTTCTCGAGCTGAAATGTTGTGCTTCACGGTAGATGAAAAAACTAACCAGATATTATGTTACCAAACTAAATAAGAATTAAATGAGGAACTTTCGAACCAGGAGAAACTATAAATAATCAGGCTTGTGTTTGGGAGAGTTTTGCTCATATCTGTTTCCTGTTCTATGGATTTCATTGCAGTTCCTGCAAAAAAAAATATAATACAAGAATCACAGCTACAAGCTGCTCCAGTTTTTTGTTTTTTTACTCTATGAAATTTGACTGGAGATTGACTGGTTTTCTTCATGTGAGCAATTGGGGTTCCTCTTCATTCTCTCATTGACCCGTGGCGCATCGTAATGCATGGCTGTGACACATTTGGAGAAGTACGCTTCTATTCAAATTAGAAAATTGTCAGTCGACACTGCTCCGGTGTCCAGTTTGTGTTTCTCCGTCACAGTAATGGTATTTACAGGAAAGACACGATCATACTGAGAACCGAGCTGACTTCCTCCAACCCCACTGTAATTCATACGGTCACATTTAGTGTCAACCACAGCTTGATAACTGCCAGTGAAGATGAAGTTATGAACCACGACTTCCATGTATGTTGAACCTTTCAAATTGATTTAGAAATGAGTTGGTTTGTTCATAATTTTTTCCTAAATGAGAATTGGCCGTGGAGATAAAGTCATGTTTTCAAGCCTCTAAACACTGACCTTTAAAGGAGTCAAGCATTAAAATAAGGCACTCAAAAGAGTCACTTAACTACCAGTTTGTGACAAAGACACACGATTTGCTCCCATTTCTTTGGCTCCATCTATGGAATCGGTGTCATAGACCCAACTCCTTACTGTAGACGTGTTCCAAACCGGATGCATACGTGAGAGTCAGAGTGTGTTTGTGGGATGGGGCCGTGGCGTTGACCCCAGCCGGTGGCCACTCGGTTTAACGGGGGGCTGTGCGAGCTGCTGCTTATCAGATGCGCCGACTGAGTAGCACTTAAGTGGCGCGGCGCGTCTCCAAAGCCGTCCTCGCTGAATATGGATCAGCATGGCCGAGCATGCATGAAAGTCACTGGAATCGTTTCAACTCCGGTGTTCATAAATCACCAGCGAGCCGCCGTGTTTACCGCCCGCTCACTCTCCCAAAGGACCCCCCAACCGGTGTTGTTTCTCTGTGTTTGTGACCCCCCCCCCCCCCACCCGTTGCACATGCTAATGCGCCACAAACAGACCCGGCGTGTTTTTCCCTGTCTGTTCTGGACGGGCATCGTGAAGGTGAACTCTCTACCAGCACTTTCCACGTCCAGATTTTGGGTTCCAACACAACGTTTTGAAGTTAAATTCGAGCCGGATTGTGAATCTGCGAAGATCCTGCAGATTCAGGGCCTTCAGAGGAATAAGTCAACACTTTAGGAGATGAATACTTGTTGAGGGGAATATTCTTTAGATGGTACGAGCTTCGGACTTTGTATTTCACGTCTATAATTAAAAACGTCACTCATGTTGGCGTAATTCTCCTCCAATTGAACTTCCAGTCGTTGTCAGGTTAAAGAGAAGTACTTTTCACCGCCCTTTCTTACAGTGTCATAATTCACTTTTTTTTTTTTTAGTTTCTTTTGCTTCAGTTTGTACATAATCACCATTTCAGAACGAGCTGTGAGGTCCAGATATGTCCAAATAAATGGGCCCGCTGCCAAACTGAGCAGAACACATTTGTCTGTCTCTCTCCCGCCGCAGAGCAAATGCCACATTCTACATATGAATAGCTACAGGTATGATTGATGGAGGGAACACACATTTCCCCATCGGATACTTGAATGTCAGCTGTTTGACAAGTGAAAATGGCCCGAGTCCACTCGGGGGGGGCCCCCCGTGTGATGCGCACGGAGGACTGCGCGCGGCGTCGTTAGAGCTGTTTGTGTGATGATGGGTGGTCACGCGGCGGAGCTAATGTCTTTTGTAATGGCATCCGGCGAGCATCCAGGTGCCGACCGGGAAATTCTGTCCAAAAAGCATCACGCTGGCAAATGTGTGCGACGCCCAGAGTTGTTTTTCTTGTTCCCGTTTTTCCCACATTATACCCGCGTTTGGCTTTTTATTTTTTATTAGACTGAAGACTCATTCTGTGCAGTGTGTTGTTCAAATAAGATTGAATTTAAAATTTGAAGACCTGGGAAAAAAATCTGGTTTTGAAGGGAGTACAGGGGGTTCTGCTTCCTCACTTCTCTGACTGTGCATGGACTAAAACGTGCTCTTTTCTCATGACATCAGCTTTTTTTCCCTTTTTTTTTTTTTTACATTGAAGCATCCTGGTGGTAGATTCTCCTTGGCCCAACAGCTTCACTCATCTCCAGTATCTTATCTCCTATGCTCTTTTGTGTCTGGAAATGCTTTGCCAGAGTAAGCAGGAGTAAGCCACTCCGTGTGTGTGTGTGTGTGCGTGTGTATGTGTGTGTTTGTGTGTGTGTGCAATAACAGCAGACAACCACTGGAACCGATGCCAACTCTGTGGGGACTTCTGTCTGTCTCGGCAAACGAACGCAAGATCGCACACAGACAGACCGTCAGCATAGACACACAAGTGTCTGCATGGCTCCGGCACACAGAGGTGTTACTAATGGTCTCTGGCGCGTGCCGGCGGCAGCTGTAATGAAGCCGAACAACCGGGAGACTGACGAGCGAAAACGGGTCCAATCATTCCGCAAAAAAAAGCCCCAAACAGCTGCCTCAGGTGGTGCTAAACTGGAAAATGGGGGCGCCTTTTTTCCAGCTGTTGTGCTGCAATTTTTTAAAAGAGTGACACCGGGAACATACACGGTCATCACCACGGAATATATTGAATAAAAAGCACCCCGGTCACACACTGTGAGATCACATCTTTAACTCTGAGTGTGTTCAGTGGTATTAAGCAGCAAAGCAAAGTACCACAGGACATGTTTTGATGAGATAATCAGCAAAGGGGTTAGTTTAAATGGTGTCATTCTAACTAAATCTATCATTACAAGGTCAGGGATGTGTGTGTGTGTGTGTATGTGTGCGTGCGGGGTGTAAAATGTGGTTTGAGGGCATCACAGAGTCTTTTCTGTGGCTAAACGATCTTCACATGACATGTCCTATGTACACATCACTTAGTCGTTCCAGTTTGGCTGCTCTCAGTCAGACCTTTGCAGGCTTGAGTTATTCTTGTGAGCTCAGCTGTGGTTAAGATTGATTGAGTTAATTCGATGTGGTGATTCACTCTTTTTTCCGTCGCTGCTCCGCTCTCGTGGCGCCAAACATCTGCCCCTTAAAACAGGGCAACTAAAAGACTGCGTTTTGACACTTTGGAGTCACTCGTTTTGTGGACTTCTCTAATCCCACACTAACACATCACTTGCTTCATCACCTAGATTTCCACTAAATGTGGAACAAAAAAAACAAAAAAAACAAACATCATGTTTTAATAAGTACACGCAATAAAGACGGTAAACTAAAAGCCATGCACAGAAGTTCAAATAACTTCCCGGCAGCTTTACCCAAATTAACTTCATGTGAGTTTCAGACACTTTTAACAGCCACAACCCGGAGCAGCCACTAGAGTCAGGGATCAACATGAAAGCTGTCAGCAACCCTCTGTGGAACACTCTAAAGGCACTCACCACTCAGAAATAACAAGAACAGTTCAAATAAATGCATCAAACACACACACGAAACAGTCTGGCTATTAAAAGTGAACATTTTCCCTTTTTATGAGCGTTTTCTCCCTGTATTTATCCCTCGTCTCGGTTTCCTGCTCACTGCAACTATTGCTTTAATTTTAACTCCTCAATACAAGCTAAAAGTCATGAAAAACTCGGGACTTTTTAAAGCTAGCCTGATCCCGTGAGATCGTTGGACTTTCAGTATTACAGCCGCAGTATATTTACAAGCTGCTGAAAAGGATCTGGAGTCCTCTTCCAGCCACCGCTCCTCTCAGCACCAGCCCCTTCCCTCTTGCTTTTTCTTTGTGTGCGCCGTCTATTTTTCGCTCTGGTGTTCGTTTGTCTGTGGGTGAGTATCGGAGGAGGCACGGAGCACGCACAGCTAGCTGTCTGCCTTTTCTTTTTCTTTTTTCTTCCTGCGAGAAGCATCTCTGGCCCCTATGGGAGGAGGATCCACATCTATAGGGGACCCCTCTTCACCGAGCAGCGTGTTCTTTTTCAGGAAAGCACCCCCGTTCAGGAATCACCACATTTATAATTTAGACACGATTACCGAACAAGGTTTGTGACACGGATATAAAATATTCAGGACCCGTTGTTGCACAAAAGCAGGCCGCTGTGCAAACAGCTCCTCGAATGTTTTCCCCACAGATTGCATCACAATAAACGGACACGGAGCAGAGGGAGAGCAGAAGGTGTGTTTAATGTGAGTAACGCCCAGTTGGTCAGGGCCTCCAGGTAGCAGGACAAAAGTTAACTGCACATAAAGCCGTTTTGATTAAAGTGAATACAGAGGAACATTCAGGATCCTCGGTTGAGGCAAAAGACTGTCTTCCGGTGAAAAAAAAAAAAGCAGTTTGGTGGCTCTCGGTGCATCTTCATGCTCCGATCTACCCAGCACTTCCATGACCTGTGTCCGAAGAGGCTTTCGCCGTGTTTCCTGCCTCCACCTTCTGGGTTGTGTTTTCCGTGGTCGAGCAACACGCGTCCTGTCTCCTGGGTTTTTTTTTCCGGCTCGGCTTCAACAGCTCGAGCGTCTGAAGACGGAAGGACCGGTCCAACAGGAAGAACATGACGGGGTCGGTGGAGCCTCTCAGGGCGGCCAGGAGAAACAGGCCGTTCTTCACCTGGAGGAGGAGGACACAGACTCTCAGTCAGCAAGCCGCCGTGGGAACAAAACAGAAGGCCCGGAGGCGAAAGGCGCTCACCTCCACGAAGGCGGAGAGCGGATGGCAGCCGCTCCCGTCGTCCGGCACCTGCGGCTGATTGCGAGCAAAGACGAAGAAGATCGGTTTGAAGATGTGATACGGCAGCAGACAGACCGAAAGCACCACCTGCAGAGAATTTCACTTATCAAAGACGTGCAAAGAGCGTGCAAATGCAACCTAGAGGTTTTGATCCAACGTTCGTTTTGCTCTCAGGCTTCCTAATCATGGCTTAAATCGGTCTTGAGCTCTGTTTCCCTTTTCATGCTTTGTCGTAGTTATTTAGTTTAGCCCCTAAACACTAACCCCTACAGGATCCCGCAGTGCAGATGATCTCAGCTGTCACACACCCCCCGGGCGGGTCACCAGTCCAACAGAGTGGGATCATCATAACAGAGAAGAGAGCAAAAGGCTGCTCTGGGATGTTCCTCGAAGCCCAGAAAACTAAAGACTGCTCAGAGGTGACGGTTTTGTTCAACATTCTCTTTTTTTCGACATTCGCCTGTGCACTTCTGAAAACCCCAGCGCCTATATCCCCGGGTGGAGGCTCAAGACTTCGGATTTGGCCCGTGCTGTCCAAACCAGTCGGAAATGAGGAGTCGGCACGGCTTCTAAGGGAAAAGGGGCAAACGTGCGGGTACCTGGATGACCACGATGTTCCGGAACACCCGCGTCAGCAGGCTCTGCGAGGCGGGGATGCGCGTGCTGCGCCGGGAGCGCCGGACCTGCCTCAGCACCGTCACGTAGGACAGCAGCACCAGCAGGTAGAGCAGGAAGAAGACGGAGACGGCGGAGACGGTGAGGACGGCCGAGGTGGCGCCCCCCAGCTCCACCTCCAGGCTGTAGCACCTCCCCCCTTCCCCGGCGCTCCCCACCACCTCCCTCGCCGAGTAGTAGACGCTCACCGGCACCACGCTGCCCAGCGTCAGCGCCCACATGGCGGCGCACACGGCCCCGGCGAAGGGCGCCCGCTTGAGGCGGGCGGAGAGGCCGCGGGGCAGCAGGGCGGGGCCGGGCCGGGGGGCGGAGGCGTGCCGGCGTTGGACCAGCGCGGCGAAGCGACTGAGCGCCACCCAGGCCAGGATCAGGAGGCCGATGTAGAGGCTGACGTAGAGCAGCGGGGTCAGGCCGTGCAGCGCCAGAAGGCAGAGCGGCCCCCGCAGCGGCCACGCCCGGCCCCCGGCGTGGTAGGCGGCCAGGAAGGGCGCGGCCACGCACAGCAGCAGGTTGGAGGCGCTCAGGTGGGACAGGTACACGTGGACGGGCGAGACCGGGGAGACGCGGCGCCGGAAGACCCACAGCGAGAGGGCGTTGCCCGGCAGGGCGGTGAGGAAGAGGAGGCCGTAGACGGAGGGGATGAAGTAGAGGGTGGCGGCAGAGGGACAGAGGACCAGCGAGGAGTTGGCGGGTCGGCCGGCGTCCGCCATGGTCACCCGTCGGATCTGTCGGCACACAAAAGCGTCATTTAGAGGGACGCTGAAACCGCACGGGCAGGTTCCCACGTCTTATATTTGAGACACGCGGTTTAATTTTAAAAGAGGATGTGATGTTCCTTCAAATAAGGTGTCACATTTGAGAGAAGCAACCCCAGACATTCTGGCTCTGACTGTTCTTGTCACCTCTCTCAACCACAACACAGCGTTTCCTCTAAAGATCAGCCACAGCTCAGCCAACCCAAATATATCGTTGCTATCGTTTTAAAACAGTGTTTAATCTGTGCCCTCCTTTTGTCAAAGATCTCAGTTTGTCCTTTGGTCCAGTGCCGTGGATGGAGGATATTGTTAAGAGAAGAAAGTAAGTCTTCTGTAAAAGAAAGAGTCTGAAAAATAAGGACTCCTGCATACTGACGCCATTCTGGTTATGTCCAATGGGGTGGGTTTTTTAGTTTTTTGTTCAAGCTGGCAAACATTTCTGAGACAGCTGGCTTTTCTAAAAAAGTCAGCAAATCAATTCATGTCATCAATAAAGCATTTCAAAATTCTGTTTTATTATGACAATCACAGACCGTTTTAAGCCCAAATCTAAAGATAACAATGCATTTGGTGGGTTGTGGAGGTGCTTCCTGGCTCAGTGCACAAGCTGCAGGACGTCCTGTAAATAAGAAACCTGCCTCCTCAGTGGAACTTTACATGAAAAATATAAGAATATGTATTGGCTCAGTAGTGTGGATTTAATCAGAGGGTGGAAAGCAACATGCAGGTTGATACGAAAAAAGGACTATTTTAGCAGCGCGAGCCGTCACTTTGAATGAATATTTGCTCGACTCAGATTCATTCAATGTCACGCAGTCGTGTCTGCAAGTGTGCTGAAACAGAGGCTTTTGTTCCACATACTGGAACACCTGAGGAATATTTCAGGACCTAACCGTAAACAGATTAAAGTAATAACTAGAATAATAATCGAGGATACTGAACAAAAGGCCGTTGGACGGAGGGCTCCCGGAGGGAAGTGATCCATTATATTAAGATCAGTTATCAAGACTAGTTCATACATGCAGTAGCAAAACATGGAGCCGTTAGCTGGCTGAAAACTGATGAGCACATACCTCTGACAGCAGCTGAACGCAGTGGAGTGGCAGCTCTCCTCCTCCTCAGCCTGCAGACTCAGAGCCTATCTGCACCTTCTTCCTCCTCCTCAGTGAAGCAGACATTTATGTCGAACAGAGAAGGCCCCCTTTCTCTTTTTTTACCCCCCCCCAGATGGGTGTGGCCTGCTTCATTTAATTTTGGGCTCATATCTCTTTTTTCTAATTTTGTTTCCTGTTATTTACGAGCGGGGTTCTGAAGTGCGGAGAGTTGATTGTCTTGGATTACTAAATGTGTCTCAGCCTTGATGTGTTTGATGACAATGGGCGATCGCTCAACCATTTCGTTTTTTAGTGGCTCTCTTTTCCTCTTTCTACAAACAGGTTTTCCACTCCAAAGTTTATACATCTAATCGGCCTTAAGGGGGCGCTCCTGTTGCAGCAGAGAAAGGGAAGAATCTTCTGTGTGTCCGTATGTGTGTGTGTGTGTGTTCAAAAATCTTTCCATCATGATGCTGTAACCAAACGTTTTTTATTTAAAAAATAAGACATACAAATCACCATTAAGTGCAAAGCAGAGTGTTTCCTTCCGGTCGGGGTTCCGGCCGTTTGTCCTAAATACTCTACATCCGTCCCTGTTTGGTCTGCCGCTCACCCCAGAGGAGTAAAGAGAATAAGAATCAAGCTTGTTGCTACTGTTCTAGGTTCCTTATGGAATAACTAATCATGTAGTCCATCCAGCTTCACAGGCCGGAAGACGATAATCAATCTGGAGCTGAGGTGAATTCTCTATCAGCACGCAGTTAACTCTCCTTTTTTTTTTTTCAAATTCTCTTTGTTGTGTAGTGTATTTCTGCAGAGGACACATTGATTCATGAGCCGGTGAATCGGTGTGACCTTTATCCTTCTCCAGCCTTGGTAATCCTTCATTTCTGGCTGTTTGGTTTCTGCTCCGGTTGAGTCAGGGCCCTCGGTTTCCACCCCTGTCTGTCTATATGTCGAGGAACGGTGCAGACTTGACTCGCGCTTTACAACAAACCCCTCTCCGGAGAACAATCAGCCATTTCCTGACATGCACAGCAGGAGGGGCTGTGCCTCAGAGCATGAATTGATCTCGCTCTGCCTGCTTCCCGTTGAGACGTCTGTGGAAATGTCTTCATGAGGCTTCGCATGAAGCCGCCGCTCACAGCCAACCAGAGAGCAGCTTGATGACAGACGCTAGCTGTGCCCTTTTGCTTTTAACTCTGGGAATCTTGAGGATACAGTTCCTTAACCTGTAAGCCCGATCTGTTGGCCATCCTATCGCGCCTTTACAGGAAAAAGTGGGCTAAATGTCTCCTGGAACTATCCACAACTCGGTATCATTAAACACACATCGTCCTCTCAAGTGTTCTTAGAAGGAACAGCACCTTCACAAAGTGAGGAAAAAGAGTGGTCATTTCATTGTTTTTGCTGGGAGATGACCAGTCAAACTGTCCAGCCTATCTTTCACACATATATTTATACTGAAATGAGTAAGTAGTTTGAATTTTGTCCTATAACGCGCATCCTTTATGAGGGCAGAGGTTCACAATTTTCGCCGACGATCTGGCAACGCTGGATTTCGGGGAGTTTTGTAAAGTCAGAGGTTGCCTATTTTTTGCTGGAGCTGCCTTTCTTGTACTCCACGTCGGCGGTGGAGCTGCTCCCGCTGCTGCCGGCCACGTCACGCACGTGAAACAATCTGTCCATCAGCCGCAGCACCTCCTTCCTCACCGGGGAGGACAGGACGAAGTACAGGACGGGGTCCAGGCAGCTGTTGAGGGCGGACAGCAGCAGGGTCATCTCGTTGGCCTTGTCGGCCACGTTCTTCCACAAACAGGACACCTCCGTGATCTGCGTGGCTATGTAGAAAACCCTGACGCTGTGGTAGGGGACGAAGCAGACGGTGAACACGAAGAGGACGAAGGACGACTTCCTGGCGCTGCGCGAGTAGTGGGGCGCGTTGGGCAGGTCCGGTTTGTCCCGCGATCTCCTCCGAAGCTTGAGGGCGATCTTCCCGTACGACACCATCAGACAGACGAACACCAGCCAGAAGACGGCCAAGGCGGCCATGTTGATGTAGGCTTTCCAGTGCTCCCCTTCACCGAGCGCCTTGAAGTGGAAACACCTGTAAACGACAAAGATTTCAGGCCGGTTTTCTCACGCCGCAAAATCTCTTTGAGAAAAATCGGAATCGCCACTTACTTGCGCTGCGCCATGTTCGAGTCACAGATGTTGACGACGAGGTACAACATGGTGGCAAAAACCCCCAACCAGACAACGGCACAGAGGACGGAACTCCACTTTCCGGACAGCCGCCTGGCCCTCGTGCCGTGGTGGATCTTCACGTAGCGGTCCACGCTGATCAGCCCCAGCAGGATGATGCTCACGTACATGTTCATGTAAAAGAGGTTGCCCACCACCACGCACAGCGTGGGGCTCAGGTCCCAGCTGTTTTTCCGGCTGTGGTAGAGGATCCTGAAGGGCAGGCAGACCACCAGCAGCAGGTCGGCGAAGGCCACGTTGATGAGGAACACGCGCACAGAGTTCATCTTGGAGTGGACGCAGAAGAAGGCCCAAAGGGCCACCAGGTTCCCCACCAGACCCAGGGCGAAGATCAGCGAGTACAGCAGCGCCAGCGGCGTCTGCAGGGCGCTGTCGTCCAGCACGCACGTGCCGTTCTCGGGGGGCGCCAGGGCCGTGCCGGGGGTCATGGCGGCCGCGGGTCCTCGGGGCTGCGGACAAACGAAAGGGAGGGTTTTGAATCGGGGAGGGCGCTTCCCCGTATGCTGCCGGTCTCTGAGTCTTAGCCTCAAAGATTCACATCATCCTGTTTAGCAGCCGCTGATAAGTGGAAACCCCCTCCCTTCATTGCTCATCCTGCCATCTGCACGGGTCACGATGACCCCCCGGCCTCAAATGAGGTAACCACATCAACCGATGGGGTGTTTTCACTAATAACACCACCTGTGACGCTAGAAACTGCTGAGCCGGGCTCAGAGCTCACGCTGAAACAGTTTTTTTATGCAGCGCAGAAAACTAAAACGACCCACTCACCTTGTTCTGCGGGTAAAAAGAAAAGCCCTCTCGCTTCTCGGAACATGTACGAGATTAACTCCCCGGTTTCGAGCACAGCAGGAGAAAAAGAGGCCGACCTGTGGATTCTGCTGCTCTTTTTTTTTGTCCGTCTCTCAGTCTCTCCCGTTGATTCCTTTGAGTTGAATCTGAAGAAAAATGAAGCGCTTCTCCTGCTGTTACTGCTTGTAGAACTTTCTGCAGCTGTCTGTCTCTCAAAGACAAAGTCAAACACGCTCCGACGTCCCCGGCTGCCTCATCTGTGTGGTTATGAGAAGCAGCCTCCTCCAGCTGTGCACACACAGAAATACTGACGAGCAGAGTGATGCCGCCTGTGAAACTAGGCTCAGCCCCTCCTCAGCACTAACTTTCCCCTGAACCAACATGCGCACGGCACACATGTGGCCTCAGAGGATCACAGAGCACGCTCCATCTGCACACACACACACACACACACACACACACACACACCATGTTTCCTGCTGATCACAGCTTGCATTAATATGCAGAGTGTGAATTTTTCTGTGAATAAAAAAAAAACCCTCATAACTACAACAGTGATCCTCTTAGTGGGAAGACGGGCCGGTCTTAAACTGTTGCCCAAGTTAGAAAACTGATTATTCACAGTTTAAAACTACAGTGGTAACTGTGCGTGTGTGCTGGTGTGTGTGGTTAAAGAAAAAAAAAGTTTAGTTTGTCTGGTTTTGTTCTCTTTTTAGGATGATATGAACTTTTTCTGTTCTGTTTTCAGTGCCTATGCGCCATGTAGTTTTCTTTTTTGCAGGAGGTTGGAATATTTCAATGGCGTTCTGCCACATCCCATGTTTTTTATTTATTTTATTATTTATTTATTTATTTTCTTTGTGAAGTCAGAATTTCCTTAAGAAATTGATATATTGTGTGAAATGACTGGGGTGCATCTGAGACTAAAGGAGCCGTGGGCGGCAGGAGCTCTGTGATTATCCTGCTGTGTGTGGTCGTGCTGGGAGACGATGGCACTGGGTGTGTCTGGCGCACATGAGTTTTGTTATTTTTAGGAGGGCGCCGCACTCTAATTAGCTAAAGACGACCGTGTTCTCTGCTTTCCCCTCCTCTCAGCCTCACTGCGTGCTCCTGGCGTCCAAAGAGAACTCCGCTCCAGTCAAGCTGGGCGGATTCGGAGTGGCGATCCAGCTCGGGGAGTCCGGACTGGTGGCAGGAGGTACATTCAACACTCAAAACGTCAAAGGTCCAGGCCTGAAAATGAATACAATGCTGGAGTGGCAACTAGATGAAAGCTGTCCAGGCATTAGGCATTCTTTGAATTGAAGCTTGAAAGCTTGGATCTTCATGTAGAAGTAGGAAGCAAGCCAGCAATGAAGGTTTGTTTCCTCTTTTTAGCTTGCGGTTTTAGATTGTGCTTAGATTGTGGAAGAGTGCTCAAGTGGAACTACAGTTAAAAATAGAGGAAAAAAATAGAAAAGATTTTTGTTAATAGGAAGCTTCTGCTCAACCCCTTCTCCTTTCTCTGAAGATATAAAAATTACAAGGAATTATTCATTAAGTACATAGTTGTAATAACACCTCTGTGTGTAATAACACCCGTGTGCTTGGGTGTGTGTGTGGACTGCAGGTCGCGTTGGAACTCCTCACTTCATGGCTCCAGAGGTGGTGAAGAGAGAGCCCTATGGCAAGCCTGTGGACGTGTGGGGCTGCGGCGTCATCCTCTTCATCCTCCTGTCAGGCTGCCTCCCGTTCTACGGCACCAAGGACCGGCTGTTCGAAGCCATCTGCAAAGGCAAATACAAGGTCCGGGGCTCCTTCACAGAACTGCCAATAACCCGAGAACACAAAGTCAACACGCCTTTAGACTCGTTTGTTTCTTTGTGTTTCTTTAAGTTGTCACCTTCCGTGTGATGTGTGAATGATTTTAATCTCTCTCTTAGCAACTCCACTGATCACAGCCTCAGTGACTGAACATACCAGTGTCCAAAAGGGGAATTTACATTTACATAAAAGATTCTCTGTACAAACAACGTTGTGTTCGTGATTGAGTGTGTGATTAGGACAGATAATAGTTTTGTTCGGAAGCCAGAGTAACCCACATCCGGGCGTCGTGTTGTCTCAGTCATGTCAGCGAGAAAACCACAGAAAGTTGAAAGTCTGAACTGGTGCAAACACCTTCTTATTGGTGGTCGAAATCATTTTGTTTTTAAAAAGAAAGATGTTTTAGCGTCAGTCCTACAAATTTGACAATGTGGCGCTTTCCTCCATGGTTGTGCAGAGGTGTGTCATTTAAGTTTTTGCTTCCAAACATTTCTGTTCAGGAAATGTTTCTTTCTTCTGGTTTACTTTTTTTTTTCTCACCAAATCATTACTCTCCTTTTGTAATTGTTTCTAGGCAGCGTCAATGCAAAGGAACTGCTGAGAGATTAGAATAAAACACCAGCGTTTGCACGCTATTGTCACTACCTGAAAACATTTGAGCACCTGTAACATCTGCGTATGCTTCCGTGTAGATGAATCCACGCCAGTGGGGTCACATCTCGGAGAGCGCCAAAGATCTGGTGCGACGCATGCTGATGCTGGACCCGGCGGAGAGGATTACCGTCTACGAGGCCCTCAACCACCCCTGGCTCAAGGTAACAACAGAATTTGGGGTCTTTGAAGTCGTCCTGAGTCGCTGTTCCAAAACCATGCTGATTTGCCGGTTCTCTGTGTGGTCCTCTAAGGAGAGGGACCGGTACGCCTACAAAATCCACCTGCCAGAGACCGTGGAGCAGCTGAGAAAGTTCAACGCCAGGAGGAAGCTGAAGGTCCCCCCTCCGCGCCCGCACGCCCCGGACAGCCGCATGCGGTGGACGATGCTTGACGTTCTCCGTGTCCTTTCAGGGAGCCGTCCTGGCCGCCGTGTCCAGCCACAAGTTCAATTCCTTCTACGGCGACCCCCCAGAGGAGCTGCACGACTTCACCGAAGACCCCACGTCCTCAGGTACGCGCCCACCGCCGTTCCCGCCGAGCGCCGCCGGAAAATGTCGAGAGTCCGTGTTTTTCTAAGTTGTTCTTCTCCAGTCACACTTTTTGCTTGTCTGTTTCTGCTCATGCCTCCCGCATGTAGGACTCCTAGCAGCAGAACGTAGGTATCGGTTTGTTCCCTCTGTGTTGTGACTGTTTCTGTGTCGGACTCAGTTTGAATTTTGTTGTTCACCTGCCACTTTTGTGTGTGTGTGTGCATCCAGGTGCTGTGTCTCAGGTGTTGGACAGTTTAGAGGAGATCCATGCTTTGACAGACTGCAGTGAAAAGGATCTGGACTTCCTCCACAGCGTTTTCCAGGACCAGCATCTCCACACGCTGCTCGATGTAGGTGTCACACCCGGGAGACAAAAGGGGTTTTTGTTAATAACAGCTAAACGAAAAGAAAAAAAAACGACAGTTTATCTCCAGCCTCGAGTCTGCCGCATGGTACTTGGTGTTTGCACGATGGTGTGTGAGGTGAAGCATGATGACATGCAAATGTGGTAAGAAGGTTGGGCTGAAAATAGATAGATATTGGTCTGAGAATGATTTTACCAACATGCACAGACCAGAAGTGTGAATATCTGGTTCCGCATCACGCTCAAAACATAACACCAGAGTGTTGATCTTCAGCCAAGCACTAAAAAAAGATCTGTGCATTTTATGAAGCCTTCGATATAAAAGACATCGCCCCAGCTTCAGGTGCTGAGACCCTGAATCCTCTGGAGGCGATTCAAAAAGCTCAGACGTGCCCTTAAATTCCTCCCTTCCCACCTTAAACAAACTGAGTGAGTGGAGAGCCACTGCTCCTTTCTGGGTCTGAGAATCCCAGAAGCCCAGCTCCCAGACTAAACCACACTTCAGATGGGTTTGACTCAGAGAGCATCATCTGTCTGACAGTGTGCTGAATACCAGACTCTGTCTCCTGTTCCTTTGATCTGCCGTGTATGCTCAGCCCCGTGTGAGTTCTGTGCGTCTGTGTGACTTCAAGTTGGAGGAATGTGCAGATTTACAGCCGGAGCGATCAGATTCTAAGCACATGATTTACTCTCCGTTTACCTTTCTGCTTCTGCCGCTTTTGCTCTCCACGAGCTGTTATATAGATGTACGATAGAAAGCAATGTGAGGACGGGCTGAATGAGTGTTACACCTTCGGCCCAGTTGATCAAACTCGGTTAGAGTGGCTTAAATCTTCGCCTTTTATCAAACTGAACGCACAACCGAATGGTTTAATACGAGAGTGTGAGAACGAGGTCTCCTGTGGTTCCCCTTTTAATTTCTCTGTTCACATATTCTGCTCGCTGAAATGCACAGTGGGGGAAGCACCACTTAGAGGCCGCTCTCTCTCTCTCTCTGATGCTCCTACAGTCTGAGCTGCGGGGAGCACATTTAAGCAGAAGCCTCACCTGTGTTCTTCCAGGGGAAAAGTTTCAGAGAGCGTGCAGATGTGCGAGTCCCCCCCTGCTGTGCAGTGAGACACACACCGCACAGAGTTACAGGCTCTGCTGGTGCAGCTCTGGAGGGGAAAGTGAAGCCAGATCCGTATTAATAACACACAGCTGCAATTTAGGGAAGTTGTTTGTTTGTTTGTTTGTTTATTTTTGGGGGAATTATTCTGATTGAGGCACCTGTCTCTGACGGAGACATCTGCACCCATTTGTGGGATC